TATTATTATTATTATTATTATTATTATTATTATTATTATTATTATTAACATGCTCTGATGCTAAGGAGTTCTACTCCCCCTCCCCACCTGAAAAGAAATCTCTTCCAAATGCAAAACACAAGCAGAGGAGAGGAGTTTCAGTTTCAGTTTCAGTTTCAGAGCACCAAGCAGCTTTAGTACAGAACAGTTGAGCTAAGCCACGCCCAGGCTCTGTTTCAGTTTCCAAACAGCCCTCAACTCTCTCACACACTGACAGTACGCTAGCCAGATGAATACCGCTGGATGCTGGTAGGCAGAGGCAGAATTTCCCTCCCTTATTTTCTTCTCCAAAAACTAAGCCCAACCACAGTTTCATAGTGAAGCACGGGTATCAAGCTGATAGGTAGGTAGGTAGGTAGCTAGGTAGGTAGATAGATGATAGATAGATAGATAGATAGATAGATAGATAGATAGATTGATAGATAATAGTAGATAATAGAAAATAGATAGATAATAGAAGATAGATAGATAGATAATAGACAGACAGACAGACAGACAGACAGACAGACAGACAGATAGATAGATAGATAGATAGATAGATAGATATAAAACTTTTCACACCAAGAAGGGGAAAAACTTAAGCAGTTCATATAGCAGAATGTTTTCCTGTCAGTCAAAGGTTACATCAGCCCCCCCGCCCCCCACCAACAGAGAGGGAAGGCCTGTTGCAGGCCCCACTTCAACTAGTGGAGTTTGGGGAGGGGGCTGCTTCTCTGCCCTTTCCTGTGGCAATATTCCTCCCCCTGGAAGAGGGGCAGCCCCCCCTCCAAAATACCCCGCCGTCCAAAAAGGAGCCAAAGTAGGGCTCTAAGGCCTCCCCAGAGCACGGCAGCTGTGGGGCTGGTTGGAGCTTCACCTTTTAACTAAGTTTAAAGAGTGTTTGCTCATCCTTGCCTCATTCTTTAACTTTTTCTATACTGGTTTGATATTTTAACACTTCGTCGTAGGGCAACTCAGGATTCCTCTCTGAGGGAGACCCGACAGCTCAAAACCGTGACAAATAAACAAACAAACAAACAAATAAAATTAAAAATAAATAAGATTAAAAATAAATAAAATTAAAACATAAAATAAATAGCAAAAGTTTAGGTGTTGCCCTTTCAGAGCTAGGCACTGGAGAAACAGGTTTTCTCTGGTGGAGATGGGCAGTTCAAAACTGTGGTAAACAAACAAAACAAAATACAATTAAAAAAAATTAATTAAATAGCAAAAGTTTAGGTGTTGCCCTTTCAGAGCTAGCCACTTGAGAAACAGATTTTTTCTGAGGGAGATGGGTGGTTCAAAACTCTGGTAAATAAATAAATAAAATTAAATTTAAAAAAATAAATTAATTAAATAGCAAAAGTTTAGGTGTTGTTCTTTCAGAGCTGGCCACTTGAGTATTAGGTTCTCTCTCAGGGAGATGGCAAACAAAACAAATAAATGAATGAATGAAATTAAAAAATAAATGAAATTTTAAAAATAAATTAAACAAATAGCAAAAGTTTAAGTGTTGCTCTTTTAGAGCTAGCCGCTTGTGGATCAGGTTCTCTCTGAGGGAGATGGGTGGTTCAAAAAATGGTAAATAAACAAATCCATAAAATAAAAAAATAAATTTTTTTTAGGTATTGCTCTTTAAGAACTGGCCACTTGAGGATCGGATTCTTTCTGAGGGAGATGGGCAGTTCAAAACTAGGGTAAATGAACAAACAAATCAATATTTTTTTTTTAAGAAATAGGGAAAGTTTAGGTGTTGCTCTTTCAGAACTGGCCGCTTGAGTATTAGGTTCTCTCTGAGGGACATGGGTGGTTCAAAACTGTGGTAAATAAACAAACAATCATTAAAATAAATCAATAAATAAAAATTTAAAAATTTAAATAAATAGGAAAAGTTTGGGTGTTGCTCTTTCAGAGCTGGCCACATGAAGAGGGGCCACAGTTGTTAAGTGTGAATCACTATAGTTATTAAATTAGTAACACAGTTTGTTAAGTGAACCTGACTTCCCCCATTGATTTTGCTTGTCAGAAGGTCGCAAAAGGGGATCACGTGACCCCCGGGGACGCTGCAACCGTCATAAATGTGAATCAGTTGTCAAGCATCCGAATATAAATCATGTGTGACCATAGGGATGCAGCAATGGTCATAAGTGGGGAAAACAGCCCTACGTCACTTTTTTCAGTGCCACAGTAACTTCAAACAGTCACTAAGTGAACTGTTGTAAGTTGAGGACTAACTGTATTTGACCGAGACAAACAGACCAGTGGTGGGATTCAAATTTTTTTTACTACCGGTTCTGTGGGCATGGCGTGGCTTGGTGGGTGTGGCAGGGGAAGGTTACTGTAAAAATCCCATTCCCTCCCCACACCACTAGCCTGCTTTCCAGCTCCGTTCTCCTATACAGGACAACCAAAGAAGACCCAGCCAATCCGCTGGGACTCGGGAAGCGGAGAATAGATGGGGGCGGGGCTAGTTGGAGGCGGTATTTGCCGGTTCTCCGAACTACTCAAAATTTCTGCTACCGGTTTTCCAGAATCAGCTGAATCCCACCTCTGAAACAGACATGCAAGATTTTTTGGGTTTCATTCAACTTCGTGGCTCAGGAAAATGCTTTGAGACTGTGTGTTTAAGGCAGCCAAAGATTTTTTCCCAACAGCGAAAATACATTCAATGAGACACATTCCTTACAAAGCTCAGTGGTCAAGCTTGTGGTGGAATGAAAGTAGGCCTGTCCTGGGTATATACAAGAATCACCAACTATTTATATGTAAAATTTCGATTTTCAAGACACAACCCTCTCTTCTAGCTCACTTCCCTTGTTTTCCTCTGGAGTTTGGAGACTGTGGAGCTGCAGACAGAGGTGGCATTGTGTGGAGGGGAGGACTACACCCTTTCCTTACACATCCTTTTGCAGGAGCCTTAAACGGTGTGCTCTTTTCCAGACACTGAGCTGTTGTTGTGGAAGCGAGCTGGGGGTGAGCTCAACTGGAGATCGCCTCAAATGCTTTTATGAAAAAGATGAGAGAGAAAGACAGAGACAGAGAGAGAAAGAATTGTTTTAAGCCAATGCATTTATATTGCTTTCTTTTGCAAAGACATAGTGCAATGTAGGGACGCGGTGGCTCCGTGGCTAAGGCGCTGAGCTTGTCGGTCAGAAAGGTCGGCAGTTCGGCAGTTCGAATCCCTAGCACCACATAACGGAGTGAGCTCCTGTTACCTGTCCCAGCTTCTGCCAACTTAGCAGTTCGAAAGCACATAAAAAAAATGCAAGTAGAAAAATAGGGACTGTGCTGGTCAAACAGTATATAGTTAGTTTGGGAATGAGCTGTCCCCTTAAGGGAATGCCTCATGGGAAATGTAATTAATGCCTCATGGGAGATGTAGTTCATGTCATGTGGTCACATCCTGAATGGTCACTGAATTGACCTCTGGTGGGTTGGGAGAAGCTTTGTTCATTCTTGCTTGGACCCCAGCATCGTGCTGGAGTCTCCCTTTGCTGTATCGTTATGGGATGAAGATAACTATCTTTTCACACTATGGAGACGACAATGCAAAGATTGGACATTAGATGAATCTCAACATAACTGTGAGTTATACCTTGAGGATGCCTGATATAATCCAATAAAGAAACTTTGTATGGAAGCCTTTGTAGTGTATAACTCTTTATCTCAGGTATTTAGAGAAGATAAATATTGCCTGAGACGAGACAGGGACCCCTTTGGTGGGAAGGTCACAGCATTCCATGCGCCTTCGGTGTTTAGTCCTGCCGGCCACATGACCACGGAGTCGTCTTCGGATAGCGCTGGCTCTTCGGCTTTGTCATGGAAATAAGCACCACCCCCTAGAGCTGGAAAACAATTAGCACACAGGTGCGAGGGGAACCTTTATCTTTACCTTTAATGCAATGTACTGGTTTTGATTAGCAAAGCATCATATATACCTTTGTATATAAAACATGGTGGAGAGAGAGAGAGAGAGAGAGAGACAGAAAGACAGAATTGTTTCAAGCCAATGCATTTATATTACTTTTCTTTTGCAAAGACATAATTCAATGCACTGGTTTTGATTAGCGAAGCATCTTGTATTAGACACTTTCTCTAACCTTGATGTCAGCTCAAGAGACACTTTCTGTAAAAAGAAACTGGACGGCCATTTGTCCAGAATGATACAGGGTCTCCTGCATGAGCAAAGGCTGGATTAGGTGACCTCCAAGGTCCCCTTCTAGCTCTGTTTGTTCTGTAAGTGTTTCTCAAATGAGGCAGCTTGAAGATATGTGGAACTCCCAGTCTTCCCCAGCCATGCTGAATAATTCAAACTCATCCGATAATCAATTATCAGGCTGATGTCTTAATTCAATCCTCCCCAACTTGGACGCTCACCCAAAAATGTTTCCAATGAGTTTGAATCCTGGCTATTTCATGGACGTATCTCTGCCATTTTCTTCTTCCAGATTATTTTCTTTGACTTCTCTTTCTAGCCCAGATTCAAAAACTAACCCAGTCCCCAGCTTTGGGGAATCTGCTACGCTTGACCCACTCGCTTTGCACATTGAAAACAACGCATAAATGCATTCCCTTCCAATGCCCCAGTAAAGCTTATTGTCTGAATGGTGCCTCATCTTGGGCGTGAAAGGAAAAAGAAAGCGGGAAGGTCTCCAGCTGTGTCTATTTTTCCTCCCTCAAGGCTGGATCATCCCCTTTAACATCGATGTGAGAAGACCTCAAATCTTTCGTGGGCCGCCGGAAGCTCAGTTTGGCTACAAAGTCCTGCAGTTCACAGCCCAAGGGCAAAAATGGTGAGTCCCTGCAGCTGCTTTGCGGCTGATTTTATTTTACTCTTTTGGTTGTTGTTACTCATTTATCTGGAAACTAATCAAGGAGAGAAGCAATCTGGAACTAAGGAGAAACTTCCTAATGGTGAGAACAATTAATCAGTGGAACTGCTTGCCTCCAGAAATTGTGGGTGCTCCATCACTGGAGGTTTTTAAGAAGAGACCGGACAGCCACTTATCTGAAATGATACTATAGGGTCTCCTGCTTGAACAGTGGGTTAGACTAGAAGACCTCCAAGGTCCCTTCCAGCTCTATTCTGATTGATCAGAGTGCCCCTTTATCACAAAGTTTCTGTCATGCCCCTGGTGGAGACTGACTCTGAGGGAGAGGAGGAACAGCAGACAGGGAGTGGAGGTGTGGCTCCGGAGGTTGTGGAGGGGGCTGGGGAAGGGCAGAGGCGGGCTGAGTAGTCAGAGGAGGACCCAGGCCCATCCCCTCTCCATCCTAGGGCACATAGGGAGGAGAGGATAAGGGAGAGACATGGTCTACTCAGGAGGAGAGGGCCTTGATCCTCTTCATGGGCTGCAGCTGTGACAACTGACCTGCATACGAGCAAGTGCTGGAAACAAATTGTGTAAATATCTCTAGTTTATAGTTCCTCTCTGAGTTTGGCATCCTTCCCAGTGTGTGTTATCTGTGGATGTCCTCCAGTCCTTATCTTGCCTGGTTTGTGTTGCTTTTTTCCTTCTTCTTGTAACTGTTTGTGTGGGAGTTTTTTGTCTTCTGTCAAGAATATTCAGAGCTTGGAAGCAAAGTGAAGGAATAAAAGGGGGTTCACCTGTTTTCTGTGACTGTGTTGTTGTTTTTTGTATATCCCACCCTGGGTCATCACGGTTTGAAAATGCACTTTGATTTTCCTACCATCCAATTTTTGGGACATTCAACAACCTTCCGTGCTGCTTTTTGAATCATTAAGGACACTCTTGAGTTGCCTTGCGGATTTCCCCAGTCAAACATCAGCTGTTTTGAGAAACATTTAATAAAGTACAACAGAACAACTGGCAGCCTTCCCTCTGGAAATCATTTAGAGATGAACGCAGGTGGGAGAATGCAGCAACTGCTTCCAACCTGTGATCTGAGTCCAAAGATCAACCCAGAACAGGAAATATGCTTGGAGGCCATTTGGGCAGCTGTCCCACTATGGCAAAAAACCACAAGGTTTGAGATGGAGCTGATGAATGGGTTCCACAGATGGGGCAGGAAATGGGATGAGTCACATAATAGCTAAATCACAGGAACAATTTGGGGGGGGGGGGAAACCTGGTGTTCAACTTGAAGATGGGATCCTGCAGAAGAAGAAAATGGAAATGTAGTGACCGGCTGGTGAGAAAAAAATCCCCGAAGTATGATCATTGTTTGTAATAGGAAATTGTTGTCCATCATATTGTAATTTTCCATTACAGTTAGTCATCAACATATGACCAACAATTGAGCCCAACATTTGTGCTGCTAAGCGAAACATTTGTTAAGTGAATTTTGCCTCATTTTATGACCTCTCTGGCCACAGTTGTAAAGTGAATCAACTACAGAACACGGTTGTTAAATGAATCTGGCTTCCCCCATTGACTTTGCTTGTCAGAAGGTCTCAGAAGGGAACCACATGACCCTGGGACACTGCCACTGTCATAAACATGAGTCAGTTGTGAATTTTGATCACGTGACCATGGGGATTCTGCAAGGGTTGTAAGGTAGAAAAATGATCATAACTTTTAGGTCAATTTTTTCAGTGTCATCGTAGCTTTCGGTCTCTAAAAGAACTATTGTAAGTCAAGGACTACCTGTATACTTCCGTTCCAGTTAAAGGTCCACAACTCCTTATTCCTTTGTTTAGTTAATTGTTTGGCGTCCTCAAATCAGGCCCAATTTTGGATGAACAGATGGACAAGACTTCAAAATCACGTGAAGTATTAGTATCGCTTTATAAATTCTTAGTAAGTGGAAGTCTGCATCCAGTTTTATCCCCACATTACAAAAGAGACTTTGGAAAAAGTACGGAGAAGAGCAACTAAGATGATTGAAGGCCTGGAGACTAAAACATGAAGAACAGTTGCAGAAACTGGGTGTGGCTAATCTAGAGAAAAGAAGGACCAGGGGGGACATGATAGCAGTCTTCCAGTATTTGAGGGGCTGCCACAAAGAAGAGGGGAGGGTCAAGCTATTCTCCAAAGCACCAGAAGGCAGGAAGAGAAACAATGGATGGAAACCAATCAAGGAGAGATCCAACTTAGAACTAAGGAGAAACTTCCTAATAGTGAGAACAATTAACCAGTGGAACAGCTTGCCACTGAAGTTATGGGTGCTCCATCACTGGAGGTTTTTAAGAATTGGACAGCCATTTGTCTGAACGGGTTTCCTGTTTCAGCAGGGGGTTGGACTAGAACACCTCCAAGGTCCCTTCCAGCTCTATTCTGATTGGCTGATTGATTGAAATGCCTCTCTGTATATTCATGATTGCAACCCTGAAAGAAATGTTTGTAAAAGCCAGTGCCTTTTTGACTTTCAAAGTTTGGTTGTCGCTCTCAAAATAAACAAAGAAAAATCAGTTGAAAATTGAGGCGCTCAGGACAATAGGATGGCTTCAGTTGGGGAATTTCCAATATTTATCTGTAGAAATCAAAATTAAATTACTTCACAGCTACACTGGTAAAAAAATGGATCCAGCTGCTCAGAATTCATCTCTGAATCCTCCTTTGTTAGAACTTATTGGAGTGGGGGCGTTATTAAAGGGGTTTCTGCCCCTTTTCCCATCCTAACAAGCAAAGAAATGTTGCAGATATAACCAAAAAGAATCCTTCACAAATGAACAATAACAAAATCCCATGGTTTTTGTCCAGACATACCTTTTTCTCCCCTAAGATAAATTCATCATGTTACTCAAAGCCAGGAGGAATATGTGGGTTACATTTTGGCAGCAATGAAGACCAATCAGGAGAATTTCAAATGAAAAGACAATATGTTTTTGGTGAATTGTAGGAATGGGGAGATTGTCTGGATTATCTTGTGCACACATGAAAAACAGATCAAGATGTTCAAAAGCTTCATTCTCACTGGTCCAAAACCCAATATAAAACCCATCTACATGAGTGACCAGGGCTCATTTAAGAGTCGTCCCCTCTGTTTTCCCACCGTAGGAAATGTGGTTGGGGGGGATTTCTGGTTGTCCCCCGATATAGTTTTCCTGGTATAATTGCAATTTTATGGCAGTTTCCTCATTTTTAACCCTCTCGTGTTTGCCCAATGTGCCTCACATTGATTTTATGTCTAGTTTCGGATGAGGTTTAATTTTATCAAGTCTTTGTAACACAGATGCTTCTCTCAATAGGATGTTGGTGGGCGCACCTTGGGATGGAACCGAAGATGACCGGAAAGGTGATGTTTACAAGTGCATTGTGGGAGAAAGGAAAAATTCAACATGCACTAAAGTCAATATAGGTACACATTTTGAAGTATCCATACCATATTCAGAAATATATATGAATCTCTTGAGAGCCAGTTTGGTTTAGTGGTGAAGACACCAGGCTAGAAGACTGTGAGTTCTAGTTCCACCTTAGCCACAAAAGTTTTAGGCCAATTAGAGGGGAGCTCTAATGACACCTTAAGCATGGAAGGCAGCTGAGTGACTCTGGGCCAATCACCAGGAGACGGTGAGTTCTAATCCCACCTTAGGCAAGAAAGCCAGCTGGGTATCTTTGGGCCAATTACTCACTCTCAGCCCAACCCACCTCACACGGTTGTTGCAATGAAAAAAATAGGTAGAAGGAGTATGAGATATGTTCACCACCTTGAGTTATTTACAAAAATAATCAAGTTGGGATAAAAATAAATAAGCAAAACCAATGGAAGGACACCCAGGGAAGTCTGGGTGGGATTCACCCTCATTGTTTTGAGGGTAAAAAATCTTGGAGATCATCAGATCAGTTGCCCAATCCCTACATGATAAAAAAAAGTAGTATTTATATTTGGTCATCACTATGTAAAAAAGATGTTGAGACTCTAGAAAGAATCCAGAGAAGAGCAACAAAGATGTTTAAGGGGCTGGAGGCTAAAACATATGAAGAACGGTTGCAGGAACTGGGTATGTCTAGCCTAGAGAAAAGAAGGACTAGAGGGACATGATAACAGTATTCCAATATTATTGAGAGTTTTGCAGCGATAATTCAACACCAGAAAAATAAACACAGATGTCTGATGCTTCATTTAACATCTTTATAAACATAAGTAGATTTTACAAACCAGTTGTAGATTTCTCCAGCATGGAGCAAACTCAAATAGAAACATGTTTCAAGTTCAGAGCAGAGCTCCAGTCTTCAGCAAGCAAGCAAGTTAGTTTCATCTTCAATAGGCAGACTCAGAGCTTCAATATAGCTGCAGAGCTTAATATAGAGCCACGCCTAGGCTACTTCTAGTTTCAGTTTCCAGCCTAGGCTACTTCTAGTTTCAGTTTCCAAAACAGTCCTCATTGACTTAGTTGCTATGCCTATTCATTGGCTGATCTTGTTACCAAGCTCTATTCCAGTTCATGAAAATACTGTACTCTGACAAATATTTGAGGGGCTGCCGCAAAGAAGAGGTGGCCAGCCTGTTTTCCAGATCACCAAGGCAAGGCAAAGAAGCAATAGATGGAAACTGAACAAAGAGGGAAGCATTCTAAGGAGAAATTTCCTAACAGTGAGAACAATTAACTAGTGGAACAGCTTGCCTTCGGAAATAGTGGATGCTTCATCACTGGAAGCTTTTAAGAAAACAACAACAACAACAACCACCTTTTCTGAAATGGTATAAGGTCTCCTGCTTGAGCAGGGGGTTGGACTAGAAGACCTCCAAGGTCCCTTCCAACTGTGTTATTCTGTTATTCGTTTGGCAGAGCAGTGAGCAGGCATCTCCTTTGGAATGGCCTCTAATGGTCTGGAAAGGGAACAGGCCATGCTAGGTGGTCTTCTTCTGGGCAGGGTGGGCTCACAAGCCACTGGGTGATTATTTTTCTGCCCACCTTTAGGGCAGGAATGCGAGCCCCTTCTGGGAAGCAAAATATTTGTATCTTCACTCATATTTGCCCAAATGGCACCAAAGAGCCAAATTAAAGGTAAAGGTTCCCCTCGCACATGTGTGCTAGTCGTTTTCCGGCTCTAGGTGGTGGTGCTCATTTCCGTGACAAAGCCGAAGAGCCAGCGCTGTCCGAAGACGTCTCCGTGGTCATGTAGCTGGCAGGACTAAACTCCGAAGGCGCACGGAACGCTGTGACCTTCCCACCAAAGGGGTCCCTATTTTTCTACTTGCATTTTTTTACAAGCTTTCGAACTGCTAGGTTGGCAGAAGCTGGGACGAGTAACGGGAGCTCACTTTGTTATGCAGCGCTAGGGATTTGAACTGCCGACCTTTCTGATGTTGTCTTTAGCCACTGAGCCATCACATTCTTCAATTTCACAGCCACATTTTAGCAACTGGCTGAGGTGGCTAGAAGATCCAGGCCTAAAAGGAGATGTCTATAAGTTGCAATGGAGGGGCATTTTCCTAACTCCAAAAGGAAAAGGAGAGATGTTTCAATCCTTGATTTTAAAGGGGCTTTTGTGGCCCACCAAAGCCACCCTAAAATATATTTATCTAAATCCGTTAATAAGGGAGATCCCCTCACTGCCTGAAGTCAGAGGTGTGCTGACCAACTGCTCCGAGGACGTTTTTCCAAACATGTTTTCAGGGTTTTAGGCCTTAATTGTGCAGCTTCCTCTTCTTCTTTAAATTGTGGTGCCCAGAAGTAGAGGTGGGGTTTGACCAAGGCAGAAAACCGTGGAATTATTTCTTCCCATGAATTGAAAATTAAACTAAAAATGTCTTTGCTTTTTTTAGCAGCTGCCTCATCCTATTGACTCATAGCTGTGATCAACAGTTGTCAGGTCCTTTGCACATAGACTGCAATCAGCCCCCACCCACCCCCCCCACCCCCCCCCCCCTTCCAGGGCTTTGTGCCTTGAAATCTCTTTCCATTTTTTTTACAACTACTGAATACAGATTAACAGAGTTGGAAGGGGCCTTGTAGGTCATCTAGTCCAACCCCCCGCCCAAGCAGGAGACTCCACACCATTGCTGACAGATAGCAGTCCAGTCTCTTCTTGAAAGCCTTCAGTGATGAAGCTCCCACAACTTCCTAGGGTAAGCTGTTCCATGGGTTGATTGTTCCCACTGTCAGAAAATTCCTCCTTATTTCTAGGTTGAATCTCTCCTTGTTCAGTTTCCATCAGTTATTCTTTGTCTGGCCTTTGGGTGCTTCGGAGAATATCTTGACCCCCTCCTCCTCTCTGGGGAAGCCCCTCAAATATTGGAAGGCTGCTATCTTGTCTCCCCTGCTCCTTCTCTTCCCTAGACCAGCCATACCCAGCAACCGTTCGTCGTATGTTTTAGCCTCCAGTCCCCTAATCTTCTTGGTTGCTCTTCTCTGCACTCTTTCTAGAGTCTTAAAATCTTTTTTATAGTGTGGTGACCAAACTGAAAGGAATCAAACTCATGGGCTGAGTGGGCTAAAACAGACAAGTTGAAGCACATCAGTAATTATACAGGAAAGCATGACAGAGGTGCACTTTTCAGCAGGATCCAAAGATTGCACATTCCTTTTTCTCTCTCTCTCCTTTTTTTCTCTTTCCTTCCTCCTCCCCTCCCCACTTCTGAATCACAACTAGGTGACATGAGTCTCCGGAATATTTCCAGGCAAATAAAAAACATGCATTTTGGGATGACGCTGATAGCTAACAAAGATGACGGGTTTGTGGTAAGTATCTCTTGCGGTATGTTTTTCTTTTTTAAAATAAAGCACATACCCAACCACATATTTTTAAAAAAAGAGAGAGCGAGAGAACAAGAGCTATAAAAAGCTAACTCTGCTGCAGTAATTTCAGTTGCCAACCCATTAAATGCTGAGGCTTGACCAGGTTGCTGGAAGAACAGCCTTGAGCAGAACAGGGTGAGTTGGGCACATTTTTGATGGCTGCTGGTCACCCTGTAAATTGTTCACACGACATGTTTAATCTTGCTGCCGAAGTGGCTTATTTGCCCCATCAGTGGTGGTATTCTACTGATTCGGTTTGGGCGAAGCAGGTAAAAAATGTTACCGTTCAGCCGGACCAGTAGTAAAAAAAACATCTACCAGTTTGGCTGAACCGGTATTTGTTTTTCTTTTCTCCCAACGATCAGCTATTCCGACAATCAGCTTCGCTCAGGAAGCTTCCCTGAGGCCCAGGGGGCAAAAAGGGGCGCAGGGGGATTGCTGTGTGGCTCTCCTGCGCTCGGTTTTTGGCCTCTTAGGCCTCAGGGAAACCTCCTGGGAGCAAAAACAGCCTTCCAGGAGACTTCCCTGAGGTACAGCAGGCAAAAAAAAAAAAATGGACCATGGGGGAGTGCTGCAAAGAAGAGGAAGAGGAGGGAGGAAGAGGAAGAGGAAGAGGAAGAAGGAGAAGGAGAAGGAGAAGGAGAAGGAGAAGGAGAAGGAGAAGGAGAAGAAGAAGAAGAAGAAGAAGAAGAAGAAGAAGAAGAAGAAGAAGAAGAAGAAGAAGAAGAAGAAGAAGAAGAATGGATAGGGAAGTTGGAGAAGAAGGGAGGAAGGAAAAGGAGGAGAAGGAAGGCTAGATAGGGAAGTTGGAAAAGAAGGGAGAAAGGAGGGAAGAGGAGGAGGAGGAGGACGAGAAAAAGAAGAAGCCACGCCCACCCAGTCACATGGCCATGCCCACCTAGCCACACCCACAGAACCAGTAGTAAAAATATTTGCATCCAACCCCTGTGCCCCATATATCGAACCACAGGGTCATCAATAAGCTGAACCAGCCTAACATTGTCAAAAAATCTAGACTGAAATCACAGAAGGGAGGGACATTAAAGATCTTCTAGTAAGAAAATAAGGACTAAGAGTGACTGGATAGCAGTCTTCAAGGATTTGAGGGGCTACCATGAAGAAGAGGGGGTCAACTTATTTTCCAAAGCACCAGAAGGCAGGACAAGAAGCAACGGATGGAAACTTATCAAGGAGAGAAGCAACCTGGAACTAAGGAGAAATTTCCCGACACTGAGAACAATTAACCAGTGGAACTGCTTGCCACCAGAAGTTGTGGGTGCTGCTCCATCACTGGAGTCTTTCAAGAAGAGACTAGATAGTCACTTATCTAAAATGTTATAGGTTCTCCTGCTTGAGTAGGGGGTTGGACTAGAAAACCTCCAAGGACCCTTCAAACTCTATTCTGATTCATGGATTGATTGAATAAATAAATAACGAACAAATAAATGAACACATGTGCCTTTTGGCACCTCCTGCTGAAATGCATCCAGAGAAGGAGCAAATCGGATGCATCTGTAAATGCAGCAGAATTCCAAAGCCAGCCTCTTTCCTCAGATGCTTTCCTGGCCCTGCTCGGTTTTAATGGATTGTTCAGGAGTGTGAAAAACTTTCTCCAGTTTAATTTTGGTGGCATTCCAGAGTACCTGGCTCAGATTTGGAAAACAGGATGTTGGATCTTCGGATTCATGGCTAGTGTGGGGGCGGCCCTGGCCAAGAAGCCTTTTGCTCCTTAATTCCTAAATGTTCCCCCCCAAGTCCTCCACCTCCTCCACTTTTCTACTGGTGATGATTTTAAGGCTGCATTCCCACAACAGACTGAATACTCAGCTAACCTATCTTTTGGTTTCACACAGTATATGCAATGATATTCTGCATTAATATTATTAAATCTTCAGTTCGATTCACAGTCTGGGATTGCTAAAAACTGAACACTTCAGGTCCTAACCAAGGACCTGAGAGCTGTTAAGTCTATACAGGTAATCTGCGACTTACGACCACAATTGAGCCCAAAGTTTCAGTGATTAAGCGAGGCATTTGTTAAGTGAGCTTTGCCCCGTTTTACGACTTTCCTTGCCACTGTGGTTAAGTGAATTACTGCAGTTGATAAGTTAGTAATCCGGTTGTTAAGTGAATCTGGCTTCCCCATTGAGTTTGCTTGTCAAAAGGTTGCAAAAGGCGATCATGTGGCTTATTTATTTCATTTATTTAGTTTAGTTTGTCAAGCATGTATGAGAAACCAAGTATAAGTATGAACATAACATATAAACATGTAAGTATAAACGGGTATAAGTATAAACATGATAAATGAGTACGAATAAATGGGAACGGTAGGAGAGGGATGGTAGGCACGCTGGTGTGCTTATGCATGCCCCCTTATGGACCTCTTAGGAATGGAGTGAGGTCCACAGTTTAAGGTTAAAGTTTTGGGGGTTTGAGGCAGAGCTGGTATTCAGCCGGTTTCTACCAGTTCTGGAGAACCGATAGCAGAAATGTTGAGTCGTTCGGAGAACCGGCCAATGCCGCCTCTGACTGGCCCCGCCAACCCCATCTCTTCTCTGCCTCCCATTGAGTCCCAGCTGATTGGCTGGGTCTCCTTTGGTTGCCCTGCACAGGAGAACGGAGCTGGAAAGCAGGTTAGTGGGATGGGGGGGGGAATGGGGATTTGGCAGTATCCTTCACCTGCCATGCCCACCAAGCCACGACACACCCACCAAGTCACACCATACCCACCAAGCCACCAAGGATGTAACAACAGAGTCTGGTAGGGCTTTCCAGGCGCGACCACACTTGTTGCTGAAGTCGTATTTTCTGCAATCAAGTTTGAAGCGGTTTACTTTGAGTTTGTATCTATTGTTTGCCTGTGTGTTATTGCGGTTGAAGCTGAAGTAGTCATTGACAGGTAGGACATTGCAGCAGACAATTTTGTGAACTATGCTTAGGTCAGACCATAAACTGGGACACCCAGCCCAAGTCCCTGCAGTCCAGTAAGCCCCTCCAAGTCCTCATGGAGATCCTCTCTCTTTCCGGCAGGCCTGCGCTCCCCTCTGGTCCCAGGAATGTGGAACATCCATGTATAACACAGGGATGTGCACTAGCTTGGACAAGGACTTCCGGCTGATAGAAAACATTGCTCCAACGGTTCAGAGTAAGTTTGGCTTTTGTTCCTTGGACTTCTAAACTATTTTAACTTTGAAAGACCCTCTGGCTGATTCTATAGGGTCCTCCCCCGGGTGTGCTATAAACCAATGGTGCTCCATTGCAATGTGTGGACATGTTCCTTGGGTTGACTCTAAAGCGCAGCACAGATTCATGCTCACTTTGTGGGTGGAGCAATTTAAGGTTTTGCACAAGTCTGAGCTTCCAATGGACTTTTTAAAACTTGCAGGTTGTTCTGACCCACGCCCTTTTCCAACAAATCAAACACAATCCAAAGGGAACAGAAATCTTGTAATGCTTCTGCAAAATAATTAGCTGTGATAAGCACAGCTTTGCCAAACTGTGTGAGACTTGCCAAAAGATAACAGACAAGAAATAATTTGCAATACAAGAATCTTCAAATACAAACTCAGGATACTGGAATGTCTACGAGGCTGGAGTTTCAAAACGTCTTTGCCTTCTGCAAAGAACTTTCGTTTCACAGCTGGCTTTTATCTTCTTGAAGGAGGGGCCATTACCTTGCAGCCTTACTCCCAAGTTGCCCATGCTGTTGTAACTGCTCTTTCCTGCAAGCAATCCTGCACTCAAGTGCACTTGGCACAGGCTCCTCGGGAACCTCCTCATCGCTGCTGCCAGCCCCCACAATCTCTGAAGGCAGGAGTCCACTCCCTAATGGTCCTGGCCCCTCATCTGAGCTCTCCTCAGCCGTCCGCACCTGCTGTCGGACAACCACAACACAGGTGGTCATAAGTGTGAAAAAGGTCATAAGTCACTTTTTTCAGAGCCGTTGTAAGCTCAAACGGTCACTCAATGAACTGTTGTAAGTTAAGGGCTACCTGTACTATAGTTCTAAAATTGTAACAAATCGAATTGCCAAGTCCTACAATCTAATTTTCATTGTTACCGTTCTTAAGTGAGAAATCCAAAAGTGGTGCCCAAGTAGAAATGAAGCCAGATAAGCTTTTGCCTTTCCTCAAAGTGACTTTCAGCCATCCAGGCTGGTGAGTGGGACCTCCCATCACTCACAGCTGGCTCCAGGTTCCCTCCCATGAGTCAGGCCCATCATTCGTTCCACAGGAGGGCTGACTAAGTGGCTAGAAACACATCCTGGGGTTTTAGAAAGCCTCACATGTCCATGACTCTCCTGGAAATGTCCAGTTGTGGACTTACATTTATCAGAAGAGCTGGGATTGTTTCCAACAGGATTTGAGGAAACATGGAAGAGAGACGTAACAAATCAATTTTGCACCCACCAATTTCAAACAGAACACTGAGTGGTGTGGTAGCCTGGAGCTCTCGTATCACAATCAGGAGGCTGTGAGTTGGATCCTAGGTAGAGGCGAATATTTCTCTCTCTCTCGGCACAGATGAGTATATATCTGCTGAACATAACTCCTCATTGGCAACAGGAAGGGCATCCGGCCAGTAAACACTCGGCTCCATTCAGTTGTCCAGACTCCACCCCGCAAGGGATTATGGGGTCATTAAAAGATGATGAATTTCAAACAGAACATTCTTCTTTCAGCATCAGTGGACACGCTGAAAGCTCTAAGCAAGGACAATTGAAGGAGTACAATCCTTATCAGCCCTAACCAGCATTGTCTGGGCCCGAAGTGAATCATAATCCCCCACTTCCAAAGAGGGGGAAGGCTGGCATAAAGGCCATGTGGTATTCCATGGCTTCCTTTGGTACTGTATTCCAAATTGGTTATCGGGATTTGAGATGGCAGCTTGGGGGTTGCACAGATCCATCCTCAATCATGGAGGTTCAGTGGTGGGCTTTAGACCAGTCCATCTCCTTCAACCTACTTCAAGAATTTCAGTGAAAGAAATAGCAGCAGAAGTATTGTGTAGGCCATCTGCTTCCCAAGGGAAGACGAGATATAAATCTAATATTAAATATTGATTTTCTAAATTGGGTGAAAATACTGGGGAAAAGAGGAGGGATAGCCAAAAGTTGCTTAGGATTGAAAGCTTAAGGATTTTGCTGCCCATACAGGTAATCCTCAATGTACAAACACAATTGAACCCAAAATTTATGTGGTTAAGTGAGAAATTTGTTAAGTGAGTTTTATGAATTTTACGAATTTTCTCATCACATTGGTTAAGTGAATAATTGCAGTCGTTAAATTTATAACCCAGTTGTTAAGTGAATCTGGTTTCCCCACTGACCTGGCATGTCCAAAGGTCGCAAAAGGGGATCATGTGACCCCGGGACACTGCGACCATCATAAATGTGAGTCAATTGTCAAACATCCGAATGTAAATCGTATGTACATGAGGATGCTGCAATGGTCTCGAGTGTGAAAAATGGTTATCTCGCTTTTTTCACTGCTGTTGTAACTTTGAACGGTCACTAAATGAACTGTTGTAAGTCGAGGACTTCCTGTACTCTGGGGCAGCGGTCGCCAACCAGTGGTCCGTGGCCCACTGGTGGTCCGTGAGAAAATTTTAGTGAGCCACAGAGAAATGTCAACCCCAGAGCATCCCCCAAAGCAATTAATCCAGGCTGCGCAGGAACACAAGGCTGCGCTGCCCACATGGCCCGCGGGAACCCTCCCCACCCCCTCACTCCTTACCCGGCAAACTTGCCTGCTAAGTTGCTATTTTCCCTTTTTCCGACCATCAGCTGTTCTGCTGTGCCGGGCGATTTAGATTAGCCAGAAAGCAGGGAAATGGTTGGATTTCTTACTTTCTAGCTAGTCTTTAGATCTTGGGCTCTGCTTTTAAGCAGAACCAAACCTTCCTTAGGACTGAAGCAATGCAGACTCAGATAGCTGATGGCAGAAACACAGATCTCTAAGTGAATCTGCCTGCCTGCTTTGCCTGATTTTGGGTAAAAGTTGCTCTTTTTTAATAAAAAATTCAATATTTATATAACTATTTATAATATTTACATACAAGCCATGCCCAGCCAGTCACATGACCACCAAGCCACACCCACAAATTAGGCCACACCTACAGAATCGGTTAGTGGTCCCTGGGATTTAAAATTAAGAGTTTGGTGGTCCCCGAGGTCCAAAAGGTTGGCGACTGCTGCTCTGGGGTATCCTTTGCCACTGCCTGACCTTTGCCACTGTTCTCTGACCTTTGCGCAGGATGTTCAACCTATATGGACATTGTGATTGTCCTGGATGGCTCCAACAGCATCTACCCATGGTATGAAGTGCAGAATTTTCTTAGCAACATCCTCAGCAAATTTTTCATTGACCCAGAGCAGATCCAGGTGAGTTTTTATTTGCTTTTTTCCAATCTCAATCTTTGTTTATGGATTAGCCCCTGGGGCATATCAAAGTGCAGCGTTTGCTTTTCCATTGTTTCTTGTGGTTCTTTTAAGGTTTAAAATCAGTGGGACATGAGCCCACACCATCATCTCTGGAAAAGAGACGTTGTCAGGATTCCAGCGATCGCCCTAATTAAATCATGAGCCTTCAAAAAACTTCAAAGTATTAATTAGGAGCGACATACTGGCATGACCTGTATGAAGCCAATTCTGGCATATGTCATTACAGTTAGCCTGCTTCCCCTCTCCCCTCTCCCAGGTGTGTCATAAATCAGTTTATCCTATTAAGCACATAGGTGTCATCTATCACATTCTCCAATTAAAGTTTTTCCCAGACAAAAGCTTCAGTAGCTTAGCTACTTTCTTGTCCCAGGCAATACTTTATCTCCCCAAATTCCTGGGATAAGCAGTTCAACACTACAAAAGCTTCCATACAAAGTTACTTTATTGGATTATATCAGGCATCCTCAAGGTATAACTCACAGTTATGTTGAGATTCATCTAATGTCCAATCTTTGCATTGTCGCCTCCATAGTGTGAAAATATAATTATCTTCATCCCATAACGATACAGCAAAGGAAGACTCCAGCACGATGCTGGGGTCCAGGTAAGAATGCCCAAAACTCCCTCAGCCCAATCAGAGGTCAGTTCAGTGACCAATCAGGATTACAGATGTGACCATGTGACATGAACTACATCTCCCAAGAGGCATTAACTACATTTCCCATGGAGCATTCCCTTAAGGGGACAGCTCTCATTCCCAAACTAACTATATACTGTCTAACTAGCACAGCTACAATCTTTTTAAAGATAAAGTTGGAATGTGCTTCTAAGTTCATTTGCTATGTGCTTCTCCAGTCCTTTCCACGCCACCCCGTTTCTTATGCCAACTTGGAAACAAGTGTAGGAATGTTTTACAAGTTGGCAGACATTGGGGAAGGTAACATAGACCAAGCTGCCTTTATGGGATCAAGGCCTCATGAAACCCACCCAGCCTTCTCCCAAAAACTGAAGAGAGGTCCTTCTCCCCTTGGCCTCACAGGTGGGAGTCTTGCAGTACAGCGAAGTTGCGGTCCATGAATGGACCTTGAGGGATTACAAGACGGCAGAGGAAGTCATCGAAGCTGCCCAGAATATCAGCCGGCAGGAAGGACTCGAAACTCGGACGGCTTCTGCCATCCACAAGGCCTGGTAGGTGCTGGGAGGCGAAAGAGAAGGTGGGAACGTCTATGGAGATGCTCCATTGTCCTCCAGTCCCTGGTTGTCCCAAAGGTGCTTTTTTTCCAAGAGGCAACTGGACTTTTTGGTTTTTCTTTGAAGACGTTTCGCTTCTCATCATATATGGATAGCAATAGCACTTAAGATAGATAGATGGATGGATGGATGGATGGATGGATGGGTGGGTGGATGGATGGATAGCAATAGCAATAACACTTAAAGATAGATAGATAGATAGATAGATAGATAGATAGATAGATAGATAGA